TAAAAGTAATTGAGAGAAATTTATCTTATATATTTGAGAATTGAATCTGTAGTGGTTGACAAGTGAATAAGGCAAACCAATAATATTCATAAATAAAATAAATTTTTAGTCATATATTTGCTACCACTTTCTTATTTTAACTATATTTCGTATTAAATGACTCGTTCGGTAAGTGGATATCCTTCATAGTGGTCTGATCGGACTACCTTTAAAAAAACCGTGTGGAGGCTATCAGTTACAGGAGGCGTTGGGTTAGCACATCTGAGTGCGAAGCCAATGGCCGCGTGTCCAATCCCGTTCTGTGCTTGGATGTTTCTCTCTCTTGTGTTGTCCTCTGTTGTGTGTGATGAGTGAATGGGGCCCACCCTATGAATGGGTTTGTGGTAGTGTGGCGTGGGCAATGTTACTCTCCTCCGTGACTTTGGTTCACAGGTGCACACTGGGTAACGCGAAATGAGTAACAACTCTGTCATCTTCTAAGGCGAAACGAATAAAGTTCAGTGCCTGCCATTCGAAAGAAGAAAAAAATGTTGTTACTCGATTTAATTTTCACAAATAAAGCGTAACTCTACTCTGAAAAAAAGTTAGTTACAGCTTTTTGTGAGCCAGGTAGGTTTATGGCGGTTAAGGTTCCATAACTTCGTGATCAACGGCATTATTTTACCAATATGCACGAACCGCCTTTACTTCTCAGTAAACTGATACCCATCCATCTGAAACTAGGCGAGCTTCAAGCTACCCCTGAAAATTGAAAACAGACCTTCACAATCACAGACGGGCGACTTTGATCACTGAGCCATTGTCACTCAATCTATTCTGAAATATATTTTCAAGGCCCCGCAAAACGCTATGCGAAGCGTGGAAGTAGCGGGTTCGAATCTCTCTCTTACCCTAGATATATCTTCGTGCTGTCCTTCTCTGTATTGTGCTATTTGTCTTCCTACTTGACAAAGGTTTATGAGCCTTAATTGAACACACAAGTCTGTAAATGTATGTTGAACCAATAAACAATTATCAAACTAAACAGTATACAAGTATTTAATATACAAGATCTTCAGTATTCAGTATCTTCAGTATTTAATATACAAGATCTTCTGTATTCAGTATCTTCAGTATTTAATATACAAGATCTTCACTCATTAAGAATGTGGAAAATATAGCTTGCTTTATTTTAAAATACTAATTTATTTTTTAAACAAAATCGTACCAATTGCGCAGCTTTTTATTTATTTATGTATTCATTTATTTGTGTATTTATTTGTTTATTTGTGTATTTATTTATGTATTTATTTATTTATTTATTTATTTCAAAGGCAGTTAAATATTATGCATGTCTGTCGAGTCTGTTTTTAGAGCTTTAATAAATATCTTTGGTTTTGAATAATTTAGTGTAAAAAGATTTTTTTAGCAGCATTCAAATTGATTTTCGTCAGTTAAACCAGCAATTAAAGTAACTTCTAAAAAATTATAACTTTATCTGAATTGTATCGCATTAAATTACTTATTCAAATTTACTAAACGCGTAATTTTATTGGTTTACATTATTTAGAAAAAAAATATCCATAGGAATTCTAAAAAATACTAAGTGTTGTTAATCCGAATCCAATTTGACTCCCTTTATGAAAGGTATGGCGCTGACAAATTTTCCTGCATCATAAAAAGTTTGAAAATCAAAAATTTTACATAAAATAAAATTTGGTGTGAGAAGAGATCCCTTAATAAACAATAACATACAAAAAAGTTTCTTTGTTTCATTGAATTAACCACTTCACTTAATTTAAAAATTTACCTTTTTTTTTTTTTACTTATTATTGATCTACAATTAACCCTTATTAACAAATGTATTTTAGAAAAGTGTTTACAAATCCTGACACAGAAGATGTGTATAAGGAAGGTGATGTTTACAAAAGATTAGATTTAGCTGAGAGTCTAAAAATTATGTCTGAAGACAAATATTCTGCACTGTACGGAATGAGTGATATCACAACTCGATTTTTAAAAGATTTGAAAGAAGCAGGTGAGGATGATTTAACCATACGTACCATATATATATATTTATAAATACGGTAATATATTCGTACCATATATATTAACCGAGTAATGCAACCATAAATGATTAAAAAGTTCACAAACACCACTTAGTTACATCTCTTTCTAGGTGAGGCTTTTAAAATGTTGGTAAATTATAAAAGGTTCTGAAAGCTTTAGATTTTAATTGTCTCCCACTCTATAAAACATTAAGCAATGTGATAAATAAAATTCTTTTAATTCTTATTGAATGGAATATTAAAACGTTGCTGGTATTACCAAGAAATACAGTTGCTTGTACTACAAGCAGTAAATCTTTTTTAAACTATTAAGCAAAGTCAACACGGTTTCTTAATGGTAGTCCGATCCGACCACCATGACAATACAATAAGAAAGTGGTAGCAAATATATGTCTGAAAATTTGTTTAATTTATGAATATAATTGGTTTGCCTTATTTACTTGTCAACCACCACAAATTTAGTTCTCAAATATGTATGATAAATTTCTCTCAATTACTTTTAGAATAGAATTTAGGTTCATGCACTCAACTGGTTCACTTTTCAAATAGTCTGCGCAGACTACTTATAAATATCAGTGCGGAGGCTTTATGGTGTAGGAGGTGATGGGTAAAGCAGTCATTGTGGTTGCTTTCTATGCGACGATCTGTTTTTGGTAAGGTAAGCGGGCACCAGACCTCTTAATCTGAGATTTGCCCTAGGGCAACTGGTACTTTTGGCATAGATAAGTTGGGAGAAATAAAGGCAGTTGGACTCCAGTATATATTAGCTTTCAGCACGGCATTAGCTTCTTGCCCGGTTTGCCCATGGTCAAAAATCAGATAAAGAAGTAAAATGAGCTGTTGGAGCTAGCAGAAATTCCATACCATCAGCAAAACAAAACGCAGGAGGTCTTGCAAATTTTAAAAAATGGCAAAGAAAATTAAACTACCATAAGTGGAGACATTTAAATTAGATAGTCATATAGGAGACATGTGACTTCTGTGAAATTATTAATGTTTTTAAATAGTGTTATCACTTTATTGCATAATATAAAAAAAAAGTAAAACAGTCATTAATCATAAAATTGACAGTGTAAAATATCTTTGCATTCACGTAAGGGTAATAACTTATTATAACATAAATCTTTAATAATTTTTTAATACTGTTCCAAATAAAAATAATTCATTAAAAATATTTCTGCATTAATACTTTTTGTCGAGATTCGTCTCCGAAATTGAAATATTTATATTCTTTATCAGTGAAATATACGTTTATTTGCATTCACTTTTTCCAAAAAAGTCAAAACTGCATTGCAGTCCATTTTATCCATTTTATCTCCATTTTATCCATTCTATCAACACACCATTTTATCTTTCACAGAAGTAGAGAAATAATCTTTCACTCTACATCAAATGTCCTATTCCTCATCTATTTTCGTCTCCAACAATTTGACATGATGGGGGAACAAACAAATATTTTTTGGAAAGCGTATGCCTACTAAAAATACAAAAAGCAGTGTGTGTTAGTAAATACGAGAAAAAGTTAAACAATAAAAAAATTTTCGCAATGCCGATAGCATTACGAAACGAGACTGTTACAAGCATGCACAGATAACTACAAATCACCAACGGGGTAATGCTCGGGAGTGCTACGCAGAGAGAGAAAAGTAAGTAATGTCTGTCTCTCAGAACAGCCACCGTCACGATGCCTGGTGAGTGGCGGTTTCAGTAGCAACAGGGTTAGTGTATTTCTAGTAGGTGTGAGCTATAGCCAAAAATCAAAACAAAACAGAAGAATTTCTATCGTTGGATGTTGGCAAAAGAATTTTATACTTTGAAAGATTGCGAGAACTACAACACTGCAGCAGTCTAATTAATGTTTGCTCAGTAGATGGCAACATGTTATTTAATTTTCACTTTGTCGTAATATATATAATTAAATATTGATTAATACAAGAGCTGGAGGGCACGCACGAAACTTATGGACTTATGTTCCCTTCCTCTGATATAAGCCAATAAGATAAACAATATATGTTCAATAAAATTAGATATATTTTACTCTACTCAAATAGGAAGCATCATTACATTAGATGACATGGAATCTTACACACCAGCAATCAGAGAACCAAGCAAAGTGAAAATACGAGGGAACATGACTGTGTACAGTGCGTCACTTCCCGGAAGTGGACCCCTTCTAACATTTATACTTAATGTTTTGGATGGATACGATTTAAAACCCAGTATAACAAAAAGCAGGGAGGAAACAGTTTTAGCACTACATCGTATCATTGAAACCTTCAAGTTTGCTTATGCCAACAGAATGCACCTAGAAGACAGTTATTCGAAAGAGATACTAGAAGTAAGTATCAAAATAAAATAAAAGTTAGCATAAGAGAAACAGCGCATAAGTAAATATTTTATTCCAATTTTGGTCGATTCAAATTTTGCATTAGCAAAAATGACAACATTTTCAAAATTTTTCGACATGATAGGCTTAGAAAATCTTGGCCTAAACGGCTGAGCTCTTCAAATTAGTGTCAAATTGAACTCTGCCTACTTAAAGTCTATTGTGAGAAGACTGGTATTTTAGATTTTCTTCTTAACAAAGCTGTTTCATTACAAATCTTATTTTGCATTAAAATTGAGTAATTTGTTAATAACTTAATATTTAACTCTTCAATTAAATCGTTCCCAAGTTTCGGAGTTTTTTTTTTCTAACCTTATTGAGTCATAAGGCAGCCAATTAGTACTTTGTAAAATATTCTTAAATCCGGATCCAAAAAAAATTAATACAAGAATATTACTTTTTTATGCAATTTTGCAATAAAACTATACTGTGCTTACTTTTATTTTCATCATTCCAGTTAGTTGACCTGTTAGAAAGCAAAGATTATGCTGATCAAACTCGCCGAAAGATCGATGATAAGAAAACACATGACCCCGACTACTACGGAATAAATGTCAGTGTTCAAGAAGATCACGGCACAGCCCATATGTCCATAATTGGAACAAACGGAGATGCAGTATCAGTAACGTCTACTATAAACCATTAGTAGGTATTTCTCTGCTCTTTATCTTTTTTAAATGAGATTTTTAATTATAATTTTAATAAGTAGCTACGGAAGAACAGCATGTATAGCAGAAATATTACTTTTGACAATACTTTATGATACATAGATCAATACGATATTTATTATCATATTTGACACCAATGGCAAATGTGTGAAGGATTTTGAAACTTTAATAACGTTATTACTGCCATTAACAACGTGAAAATTTTAATAAAGCGTTAAAAATAAAATCTAAAGGCCTGGTTCTTAGGAAAGGACACTGTCAGCTGGAAATCAGCGCTAACCTCTGATTGGTCCATTTGTGAATTTCATAGTATACGTCATCGAACGCTCATCTTGAACTCCAATTGCCGTCCAACTCAACTGCAGTTGGATTACAACGTGACGTTAACCACAGAAGCAATGGCGGACAACATCCAACAGCACATTGAAATCAGCCAAGATTTTGATTTTGACATTAAACATAGCTTCTTCATTAAACATAGCACTCTTCATTTAGCTCAGCTATAATGTGTTTTTTCTTGGACAAAGTCATTATTTGTTCTCTAAAACACTGGTCGACAATAACAAAATCAATACAAATTCAAAATAAATATTTGTTTACGTTATTAACGCATGCGCAATGAGAGATAATGTCAGCGTTGGACCGACTGCTCACTCTGAGCTAACAAAAAAGTATTTTTTTGGCGTCAACTTTCCGTTGACGCCCACATAAGGCGCTAGTTCTAAGAAACCAGGCCTTGAGCTAACAAACCAGTATTTTGTTGGCGTCAGCGAGACGTTGACGTCCCGCTGACGCCCAGATAAGGCGCTTGTCCTAAGAAACCAGACCTTAAGTTAATACTTAATAGAGAGTTCAAGATCTTTTAAGATATAATAATTCAACATACAACCTGAATCATAAAGTATGCATTTTAGAAAATGGATTTTAAAATTTTTAAATATAGTGTTCTACTTCATAGTAGACGGAATTTTATTTCATTCACAGCTCATACAATTTTTTCAAATGCAATTAGCACTCTTTTTTTTTTCTTTCTTTGATTTTAATAAAGAATGTAATAATTCTTAAAAATTTACGATTCTTATTAAAAAAATTATTAATATACTGTTACCTCTTGTGTGGGTATGTAAATATTATTTTAATAAGACTCCCACAGAATTTGCAATAAATGTGAGAAAAAAATTTCGAAAAAAGAAAAATCATTAACACTGAAAGATTATGTTGGTCAGAAAGCTACTTTTCGGGATTCAAAATATGATTAAGGAAATTCTTCGATTTAATAATTTAATTTCTATTTAAAATATATAATAGAAACCTCTCAATCAAAAAAGAAATTATTTCTGATCTAATTTAGCTCAATAGTCGACAAACTCTTCAATGACACCTTGCTCAGCCGAACATATCCAAATACTGTTTGTTGTTGCTTCTAATGACACTTGAATAAGCCAAACTCGCCAACCATTGGCTATTATGAATAAAGTCAGAAAAGTGCGCCTTTTATTTGACAAGAGAGCACCGCAAGGGTGAAAGTGTGTTTTATCTCAGAACCCCGCTGATAAGATTGCAACACCATTCATTCGTGAAGACACTTTCGCAATTTAGACATAGATCTAAAGAGGAAGGAAATTTTCCCCAGACTGCTGTGACCCTGGTACTGATCAGCAGCCGACCACAGTTCCTTCGATTCCAAAGATTTTGCGAGTACGTATATCGCATGTACTCGGTTAATGAAGTCGAGAATCGGTCCCCGATCCCTCTGAACCAGAGTCTGATTCTCTAACCACCAACCTACGATAGCTCCAATTCAAAGGCTAGTTGCTCTTAAATCACAAAAATATTACACGCGTCATGGATGCCTTAGGTTGCAAACTCATTGTTTAAAACACTCAAATTTACCACATTATTAATTGCATCTCTTTCAAAAGAATGGCTCAGGGTTTATGCAGTCCTTAAAAATTTCAAAAGTCATATCAATATTATAATAAAGAAGTCATAAGTTTCTTTTTATTATCGTTTACTTATAAATTATATGCACAAAATATGTACGAAACATTATATTCTGTGTAATATAATTCTGCGTGGTAAATATTAAGTAATTAAATTAAAATGCATCATTATATTAATATTGTCACTACTTTTTAAGTTTTTTCAAGGTCGTATGCATCTTGCATAACCAAAATAACTGACTTATTATTTTTAAAAAAATTAGATTGAAAGTAAAAAGCCTTCAAAATAAAATTTAACGAAAATTAATTCTTTAAAACAGTTATGATAAAAATTAAAAGATTCAGATTCCTTAAGCTGCTTGATTAAAAATCGTATTAATTAGATTTAGAATATTCTCCTTGAAATCGATATGGAAGTAGCGGGAAACGCTTTTTCACCAACCAAATATTTATTTACTTTTAGAAGGAACTCAAATTCCCTGAGCTTAGAATAATTGAAAATTGGCCAAACAATTCTCAATTTTTTAGTAAATCAATGTTTTGAAAACAAGACCTATCGTGATCATCAAGCTTTGGAAAAAGAGTATTTTTGAAGAAAATTGTTTGTTTCTTTATTTATGTCAACCTATTTGTTCCTAGCTGTATTTGAAATTATCTTTTATGAATTACTTTGAGCAAATTCCTTATTTTCTAATAGTTTTGGGAGCCAAGTAATGAGTCCTTCTACTGGAATACTTCTAAACAATGAAATGGATGATTTTTCGTCGCCAAATATCACCAATTTCTTTGGAGTTCCGCCAACGGGGAAAAATCAGATCCGACCAGGCCGTAGACCATTTTCATCAATGGTACCAGCAATCGTTGTGGATGGAAACCGAAACGTCAGGCTTGTTGTAGGTGGCAATGGTGGGACTCAAATAACCACAAGCGTTGCTCAAGTAAGAATACCATACAGATCACAAAGCGAAACGGAAAAGTGAAAAAAAAACTGGTAGTAAAAGTATTTCTATAATAGATAATTTTCAGGAGGAGAAATTCTATTTTTAACAATAAACAATTCATTGCTATCAATTTTCTCTCAGGGAAGAAACAATTCAATATATAAATTTTGACAGTTAAAAAAATTTGGTAGGTATTGATATTTTATTGTTCCCGAAAAAAAAAACTAAAAACTAAATTTATTTTTCACCAGTTTTCACTGATTTCCATCTTGTTATATATTGACTTTCAACCCTTTTACCTCGTATTATTCTCTCACTCTTTTGTATGTGTTTCTCACGTTACCCTGTGCATAGTCCGTACTTGTGTACATAATCATTTAATAGGTTTTTATTTTAATTGTTTATTAATTTCATATAACGTCATTTAATTCTATATATGCTTATACACACGACCCCTTTGGTGTCATCAGTGACCTCTACGATAGTGCTTCGACTCGCCCCCGCCTCTCCTTTTTCTTCCCCATCTTCGTTTTAATTCACATTTTATATCGCCATCAACCAATCGACTCTTAATTCCGACGAATCAGTCTGTGCCGCCTTCAGCAGCAGCAGATGCCGAGATACTGCAATCATCGTGATACCATAAATAGTTCATTGAAATTACATACATTTGCAGGCTTGTTTGCTCAATTTAGGCTTATAAACCTTTGTCAAGTAGAAAGACAGAACAATTCAGAGAAGGACGTCACGAAGAATAATACATCCATGGTTACGGCGAGATTCGAACCCGCTACCTCCACGCTTTGCACAGCGTTGGGAGGGCGATATCGGTCAAGGAGGCCCCCCATAATTAGTTATGAAACAATTATAAGCCACAAAAATAGTAAAATATAAAAAGTGGTGTTCAATTTATAATAAATTTACTGTATTCAATAAATTCCTCGATTTCACTACCATTTTCATTCTTAAAAAAATATTAAAAATAGGTGCCTATTGAAACTAAATTATACGTTCTATCATTCATAAATTCCTTAAGTTTATCACAATCGGGTGCTTGCAACTCGAGAAGCAGAATACGTGATTTTTTTTTCATAACCGTCGTTGAACAGCCGACTCAATTTCATCGGTTTACGACTGCTGATGTACAACTCCGTAGCCTTGTAATTTTGAACCAATCCAGAAGACAAGGAAACTCCTGAATCAGTACCCCCACAGGTATTGATTTGTTATGGGAACATGGAGGACTTTGAGACTCGACAGATTTAACGTGCATCAGTCACCATTTCCTACATGGGGAGTATTCGGACGGCGAGGATCGGATCCACGACCTCTTGGACATGGGCCCAGTGCCCTACCGACGAGGCTATCCCGGCCCAGAATACGTGATTATGCCCAACCATGTGATTCAAATTCGATTTAATTGGATGCCTGTAAGCTACGGCACGCTTGTGAGACGAACCTAATCTGAATCGACGAATGCTACGTTTTACACAAAACGATGACTTCTTTTGCAGGTATCCAATAGGGTTTTGTGTGTATGTTTTTTTGTCTTTTCCAAACTTGATATTACTTTCATTTAAGAAGAGCATACTAATATCTTCCAAAAGTCTTTCCTTCAAAATGCTTATCGTAAGACAATAACTTGACTCATTTTTCTAAATTTTGAAAATCATTGAAATAATTTTTTAATTGCAACCAATTCTCTTTTCAAAAATTATTGGAAAATGTCATTAGGTCAATACTTTTCATCTGATTTTTTGATATTGATCATTTTCTATGTGATATGCTATAAATCAACAACATTTGCTTACCAAACATTCCCTCCTTAAATCAGTACCAAATATGTTTAAAATATTTCCGGAAAATTAGAAAAATATAGCATTCTCTTATGCCACCCCCTATTTTGTCAGGACTCTTCCTCCAGTAATCGCATAAAATTATATTTTAACTATTGAATCGCGAATTCATTACAAGTATAATTTTAATGGTGTCGATATACTAAACTGCATCGGAAATTATTTATGACTCCTCCTACTTGGAAAACAGCAACTGATTTGGGATTGAAGTAATAATCAATTTCTGTAAGAAAATAACACTTTCAATTCAATTTTAGCTACAAACAAGCTTTAAAAAAAAATTATTTATAATTTTCCTAAGTTACTGAGGCTTTGTAAATTAACAGCCACCGCATAGACTGCTGAACTCAAACTGTTTTTTATTTTAACTTTTCGTAATATTTCATGATGTATGGCAGTGTTTCCCAAAATGTAGTACGCCTACCCCCAGGGGTACGGGAACAATTTAGTTGAGTTACGCGTTCTAATATGAAATATCTTGCAACAAACGAAAGTTTCAAAAAATTTGATTTAAAAACAAAGCTAAAAATGAAAGTTCACGATTACGTATTTTTCAATTGGCTATTTTTTGCAGAGTTAACAGTTAATAATAAGTGGTGTCAACAGTCAGTTGCGATTTTCAGCTTCAGTGCAATTTTTTTATAGTAAAAAAATGCATTCACTTTTTTATTAGTGGTACAGCACAGCGTTACGAAAAATTTAGAAAGGGGACACAAAAGTCATAAATTTGGGAAACACTGATGTATGGGATATGGGCCTTCTGCGCCGCCCAATTTTTGTAAATAAAGTAAATAAGTAAGAGGCTCCGTAAATAAAATATAACACAAGTGATGGCCTCAATATCCAACGTAAATACATTGAAGCAACCAGTAACTGTTACTTCTCCTGATAAAGTGACAAATAAATACATCTGAAAATGTCATTGAAAAATTGAAGTGCTATCCGTTCAACTCTACAATGCAATCTTTTTTCGAAAATAAAACAATAAGTGAAACGAGGAAACTACACGTGATCATAAATTTCTCAAGTTATTTCTTCGTTTCAAATTTTTCTTAAATACGATTTATTATTTTAAATGAAACTTTTTGTACTGTAACCAATATCTATTTGTCTTTTAAGGTAATAATCAGAAATTTATGGCTTGATGAAAACATAAAGCAAGCTATAGATGCCCCACGATTCCACCACCAACTTTTACCTAACCTTATAGAACATGAAGTCAACTTTCCAGAGGTAACAATACAAATTAATATTCTTTTATATATTTCTTAAAACCAATATGCGTGATTGAATTTTAAAAATAGTTTAATCTTGGTTTTACTAAATTTTGAGGAAAAAGAATAACAAAATATGCACTTGAACTTTCCTAGTGAAATCTTAAAGGGTCTTGAAATTTTTTTTAATTAATGTTAAATGTGTATGTTAACGTTAAATGTTTATTGGACCATTTACTTCTAGCAGTGCTACGTTGAAATATTATTGTGATTGAGACTGAATTATGAAAAGAAATTCATTTAGCTTATTACTTAAATCTAATCTGAATTTTATAACCATTTTTTTCTTTTGGTGACCAGGTGGGTTGAACATTCAAAATTTTACCTTCCTACAGAATTAGCCATAAACTTTAACTTGTGTATATATATACCCAATATATAAATTCAGCGTTTATAACTATAAGTAAAAAAATGATCAACTCTCGAGAGAAAATAACTCTCCAACCTTTTGACCACAAGGTAACCTTTACTGTTACTTACATTTATGCATAACATAAACCTCACTGATGATTTCTTTTTTTTTATGTTCCGAAGTTATCAGCAGCTGAATGCAAAAAGCATAGTTATGATAATAGATTTCTTATAGCTTCCCATCAGCTATAGTTTCCCATAGGTATGGGTTCCCAACAGCATTTAAAAATTTATAAAATAGTTAAGAAGTACACTTCCCACGGCCTTATAAATGGTTAACTAACAGTAGAGTGTTAAAGAGGTAAAGAACTAACCCCAGCTCATAAATCTGTTCTTGAGTTCACAATACTTTATTTTCTTACTTGCAGGATATTTTGTCGGATTTGAAGAACAAAGGTCACGTATTAAAAAAGCTTGGTGACAATATGCTTGGCATTATCATGGCTGTTGCAACTGACGAGAATGGCCGAATATCAGCCAATTCAGATTACAGAAAAGGAGGTGAAGTGGATGGATTTTGAATCACATTGCAATTTTTTAGTTTTTGTACAAAGTACTTGTAGTATTTATTTACTTTCATTAAAATCATTACGCCATGAAAGAAAAAAACAACAACTTTATTCCTCTGTAGCAGTATTTTTATTATATAAATGTCAATAAAGTGTGTAATATAATGCTACTATTCACTTTCATTTTTAGCACTATAAATATTATATCGAATGCAAATAAAGACTATTAAGTGCTTGAATATAAGTACTAGACGTAGTGTAAGCATTAATAGACTGCGTTCTTCGAAGGTTGAGCGCTTTTCATCTAATAATATGCTACTTTCATATATATTATGAGTTTGCAGCAATTAGTCATGACTGTTACATAACTGTCACCTTCTGCGGTCGTTGAGAAAAATTTTGAAAATTGGCAGTATAATACATTAAGTATAAAGAATTTTAGTATAAAGAATTTTAGTATAAAGAATTTTTGTATAAAGTATTAGTAAGTTTATTTACTGGGAAGTTATTTTGGTATAAAATAGTAAGGTTTGTATGTTAACACTAGAAAAACTGAGCATTGCTGTATACCTTAAAAGTCTAAAGGGGCCAGTCCGGCCCTTCCCAGTGTGTATATCAATTTACATCCAAAACTCTAAAATATAATCATAATTAATTTAGTAAGAAACACATTTGATACGCGGACATTAATATTATTTGGTATTTTATTTGATTTGATAAACGAAAATATTTAATTGAATATAATAAATAATAATTGAAGATATGTCGAAATACTCTCGTTTTTTTTGTTTTTTTTAAAATGAAATCGGGATACTATTTGATTAAATAGGCACTTAAATTGCATCAAATAAGGAAAAGTCAGAAGTACTCAATACTTTCGGTAAGTAGTTTTTTTTTAATTACAGATAGGTTCCTTCCTAGCAGAGCAATAAAAAACGAAAGGGGCCATTTTCTATTGTTGATGTATAAATTTACTACAACTAAGAAAGAATTTTTGCAACAACCGTAGAATTTGAAACCTACGCTGTTAAATTTGTCTAGTTTTAACCAACAAACTTTATGCTACTAAAGAAAAAAAATATGCAACATTTTTATAAGAAAAAAAGCCACAGTTTTGTATAAATTCATATCAAGTGATTAAAGGTTGAAGTACGGAAAGGAGATGATAGCTTACAGGTATAAGTAACTTTTTTATTCATAAAAGTACTGAACCCATATTTTCTTGAAGGAAAATAGAATAAAAACCTGGCGAACGAGAGTCAACGAATTCTTGGAAAGCCAGCAATTCAGTATTTTCGGAATAAAATTCTTTTCCCATAAAAAGTCGTCTAAAGTTAGAAAGAAGTGGTAGTCAGTGGAGCAAGGTCTTGAGTGAATGGAGGATGGTGAAGAAGTTCTAATTCTGTAGTTTTTCTATAGTCGTTAGTGAAGAGTATAGTGTTTTGGAAAAGTTGTGCAATAAGATAGAAGATTATTTATTGACCATGAAAGGCTATTTTTCTCTGAATTTTTGCATCATTTCTTGTAGTTAGTTGTAGTATATTTTAATTGTGACCGATGAGTTGATTTTCATTAAATCATGATGGTTCGCAGTTGCGCTTAAAAACCAAATGCTAACAATTAACTTTTTTTTTAATCGAACGCTTATTTCAAGTGTGTTTTGGAACTTCATCATTCAACCAACCAAATACACTATCCAAATCGAATCGCTAAACCCAAACCAACAAGACCACTAAAACGTAATACATTATTAATGCTTGGCGTGATCTGTATAATAGTGTGATTGACCGTGATTATTAATTTATTCCTCTCTCGGATGCCGTAGTTCCACTTAAGAACTCTTACTACAGAATAGTGTACATTTTTGAACGTTCGCTTTTCAGTAAAACTAGTTATTAAAAAAAATTATTTTAATATTTTTCAGAGCTTCCGAATATTACTATCTGCATTTAAGATATGTAACTTTTCAAAAAAGGAAAGAAAAAGGCCTTAAATTATGCCACTGTTACAACAAGCTGCAAAAGTCTTTCTGCAAATTTTATCCTTGATGACCAAATAGTTTAAATACAAGGGAGGGGGGACATTACTATGCGATGATTGTAATCTGTTTTTCCTGCTTAAAAGAATATATCTGTTCTGAAAGCAACGGAGAATTTTTTAAAAACAACAACAAAAATTTAATCAGAAAAAAGGGAGATTAAGAAAATTTTTATTTTTAACTCTGCAAACTACTTTAAACTTCATAAACATTTCATACATGAAGAAATGGGTACCTATTCGTTTTGGAGGACCGTATTAAACCTGTTACCCCAGTAACTAAATTAATCTATTAAGTATGAAATGAATAATCCCAAGAAACTGAAGTGAAAGGATATGATTGTCAATGGAAAAACTTTATTAGGCTTCAAAAAATTATGGGGAAAACGGTTAAAAAGTTTTCAGCATTAGAAGCATGCAGACTTTTTCCATTCTAGTTTTTGAAGTTAATGAATTTATTTAATTGATTAGGTTTATTTTGTTTAAGTATCTACAACCGCAACATCTATTTCCACAACACCAATTGTATCGTAACTATTATTACTATCAATTAATCACGAAATATTATATCAAAATTAATATTCAGTTTGAAAAATTGTTAAAACCTAATATTCACTACAAATAAGCTATTTTACTAATTAATAATTCAATAAAGGTGTGTTTAGTACAACACAATGATCACTTTTATTGATTAAAAAAATTAATGCATAGAATCGATTTTTTTACATTATTGTGTTGAATTTTACACTGCTCATCCTTTAGCTCTTTTATTCACTAATTTATCTCTTTTCTCTTCCTCTTTGGGGGGTTTATGTTTCTTGAATTGGTCAACTGCCTTTATCAAGTTCTCAGACTTTGTGAAATGTTGTCCAATGCCTTTTGTGATTATATTGTTCGGTATTGCCCCGTACGGCCCTTTCAATGTCGTCATTAAGTGAGGCATACCCGGAGGTTGGTGTCTTGTTGAGTCACAAAACAGTTCTAGATCCGATTCTGAATTCTTCAGTCTACAAAATGCGGATTGAGAGCGAGTTACCATTCTATTGAAACTGACTTCAGGAGCATAAGTGTCGTGCAATTTCACATCGTTTAAAATCGTTGGGAACGATCCAAAAACAAGGAAGTTGGGTTCCATTCAAACTGAAGCCAAGAGACATAGAACGTCGATTTTGCCTGAAAATTGATTTTGCTATTTGGAAACCCTTTAATGGGAAGTCCTACCCCACCAGCTGTATTCGCCAGACCGTTTCCCTTCGGATTATCACATATTCCGGTAGATGCCTCATAATCTGTCTGAGCAGAAATTTACATCATTTGAAGAAACCAAGGAACAGGTCGATTCTTAGATTTCCTCGAAAGAAGAATTCTTCCGATATATCCTAATGCTCCCAGAAAGATGGTAAAAAAAGGTGTCTAGTAATGGACATTACTTTGAATAAAAGATAATGTACCGTTTTTTCACAATAAACTGCTATTTTTTTTAATGAAAAACGGCGGAAACTTATTTGTACTCCCAATACATGGTGAGACAACATAGATTTTTAATTTATAATGTAATCCATGAATTTGCGCAAAAAAAAACGGGAAAAAAAGGAAAAACAGTCACAGGGAGTTCCTTTTCAATAAATGAATTTTCAAAGTTTAATCGTTTTTCTTTTGGCAAAGGATAACTCCTATAAAATAGAGGGATTAATTATGAAACTATAGTAAAGGCATTTTTATAAGTTAGCTATAAAACGTAAGAAAATTCAACACATATATTTTATTTGAGAAATATTTTGAAATTAGCTAATATATTTTACACAATTTGCAAAATTTTGCAAATTGTTTTATAGAATAAATGTAGTTCCATTAAGAATCTTGATTTTCCTTGATTTATTAAAAAAATTTCAATAATAAATTGCACAAAATTTTGAACAAATAACGCACTTTCAAATTTATTTTTTTCCTATTTTACATTTATTTCTGACCGTAATATGATAGGTTTGCGTAGGTGGTAAACTTTTATCGATAAATAAAAAAATAGCGAGAACTTTTAATAACTGCTAAACTAATACAGATCATCCAAATGTACATTTGGATTATCGGACTTATAATACAATATACTACGTATTATATTATAAGTCAATAATTTTGACTGTAACAAAAATCAATGCAAACGACTTTATTGTAATCATTTAAAGTTTCAGTCAGTGGCGGATCCAGCGGAGGGGTCATGACCCCCCCCCCCCCC